CAGATGAATCTGAAGATATGCCTCGGGCCACATTACTGGGGCCAGTGCATAAAAAACTGCTAAGGAGAAAACTTCTGTAGAGAGATGAAGTCCATTAGTACTGATACAGGTGATGAACATAAAAGCTCACGAGACAATGACAACACAACGCACACAGTGAGATACAACACTGGGCACGCTTTTTTTGGTGTCAATGCAGGCCTGCACATCCCTTTACTCTGTCATCTGTGTTTAAAGGCCGCTGTGCCTTCTGTGCGCTCCCAGGGAGAACAGCTTGCAGTTTGATTATGCAATTGAAAAATGAATATTGCGCATTGCTTTTTTTTTTTCCATTCAAAGACTGTTTGTTGGGTTTAGGGAGTTAATCAGTGATTAAATTAATCAGTTAAGGCAAATTTGCTCATTCACTTATTTTCTCTGCAGACACGCACAAGCGCAAACAAAAAAATAAAATGTTAAATAAAACTAAAACATATTTACAGGGCAACCAGATCTTGCTACACCCTCTATTGAGTATAATTTGTGCTGCAGTGAAACTAGGTATCAGTGCAAATCTTTGTGAGTCCAGATGAAAAATAAGTTTGATTGCTGTCATTTGTCCTAGGACTGTTCTCTTTTTTTTGCGAAATTGTGTTCTTTGCAGCAAGGCATTACATCCTGTTAGTCTCATAGTTTGTCAGTATCAACAACAACCAGAGCCTCTGGGTCGCACTGAACACGAGGATAATGGTGAATCATCAGCCGCCTTCCCGGTCACGTAGCCGGTTTCATCTTGAGAGAGAGGACTGTTGATTCTGTGACTAATTCATTAAAATGCAAGCAAGTGGTTAAAATGCACGAGCGTGCTGTCAAAACAACGAGCATAGTTAAATTATAGATACTTTGAAGTTGCTGGTGCTTAAACAATAGTGCGGAACTGGGATCGCTTTAATGTGCGTGGTAATGAAGTCTGAACCTGCGCTGCTGTTCTTACGGGGCTGCTGAAAGATGAATATGCAGAATCTGATGTGTTTTCCTGCTAAAAACAGAGCTTAATTATATTTAGAATAATGTTAGAGGAAGGGAATACATTTGTTATGTTGGCAAAATCTATATCAAGGGGGCTGTACATTGTGAACTATAGGAAAGCAACTAGAAACTGCTTTTTCCGTACTGAGAGTGAAATGACTCACTCCTCCCAAAGGAAGGCTGTACAGAACCAGCCCTGGAGATTTCTAGTTCTCATCACTCTTTATGCGTTAGATAAAAGTGTGCATGTATCTGTCCTTTTGTGACCAACCTAATCAGACAAAAAAAATGGGTGCTGAGCATGAGTGCCTGCTGTAATCATAGCGCACTGCCCCAGAACTGTGAGTCACATGCCGTGATGGCAGTCAAAATGCAAATTTAAGCAATCACACTGAGGAACAGCAGTGAGTGAAGAACAGCGAAGTGAAACGCGGTGATGCTGTTGGTTTTGTTATGTTCGATAAAAAGCTCCTGTAAAGTCCACTTTGCAGACATCATTACCACAGTATCACTTCAGTGAGACAGCTCATGTTCGATATTATTTATCACAGCAGCAGAACATAATAGAGTTTGGCGTCTGGGATCCGAGCTCATCACTTCCCGTAAATATGTCCCGTATAGAAACGAGGGGGAGCTTACAAGGTGGTTGCTGGGATGCTGGGGTAATGGAGGGGTTGAGACAGCAGACAGCGATGCAGGGCTGCAGCAGCACTGACGTGTCAGAGGGAGAGATGGGAAATTTTGCAGCTTAGATAGACCAGCAAATTGGCAGGTTGTGTTTGGTGTATGACACGAGGAGAACGAGGAGTGTGTATGACGCAGTTCGGCTAAAGCCTGACTGTCTGAACTAACTTGTGGGCTTTGCTCCATTTGTTAGGAGAGAATTTTCTCTCTGTCTCTGCCTGGTAAAGCCGCCTTTGGATATTTTGCTTCTGTGTCTCCCAGATGTCAAATCGCAACAATGGGCAGCTGGAAACGATAGTGATGATCAGTTCCACATTTGGAGGACTCACAATAATCCTTCATAACAAGCTCCATAACCTGCAGTGCCCCAAGCACGCAGCTATTATACCCACTGCTTTAATGTTACAGTGAAATGTCAACTCAGAACTTGAGCTACTTCTGAACAATTCAGTCTCTATCAGTCTGTTTAAGATTAAGAAAGAGCAAAAATTTGGCTTAAGGAATCACTAAAGTTGGTCATGTGAGCCATGCTTAAACACATGGCTATTTTTTTTTATTAAAGATTCACTGACACTACACTGTCAGAGCCAACTTACCAATGTTATCAGTATATTCCACAAAGCAGCTGTGGAATAAATTTAATGCCACGTTTGACTGCCTGAGTTATTTGCTCATTATTATATGTCTTTGGACAAGGGAGAAGGAAATATTTGCAGATATTATACCTCGTGATATAATAAATGTGAGCTCAGCTGGTCAGTTTGCCTGTCATCTTGTCATCTTTATTCATTTTACAAATTGTCTACAGGTCATTCAAGATTGTTTGACTCCTAATTAATTGTGCGTTAAACTGTGAGGTTAGTTCCCAGGCCCCAAAGCACTGCAGAGATTTCTTTGTTGGAGCAGTTTACTTGTGCGACAGATTCATGCAGAGAAAAACAGCAAAAGGTGCAGTTAGTCATTTCGGACTTTGTGATATCATCTGGCAAAACCATGCCTCTGTTTTTCCATGCATACAAATATGTCAACACAAACACAGCCTGTCGTTGCTGAATAAACACTCACCCACCATGTGAAATATACACGTGTGAAAGAACATCTAGGACCCAAACTGCATTAGTTCCAGGTATATGGTTGGGTGACTTTGCTCTCTGTGTGGAAATACATTATTGTGTGTATGTGTTGTGTGCTACAGTGGACGGGTGCTTGTGCTGAAATGCTAGCTGCAGATATTTCCAGTACAATGAAAGCCACGATCCCTGTCATGGACTGCTGACCTGCCACAGCTTTCGCACTGTGTTAGCTGGGATGGGCACCAGCTTCCTACATCCCTAAGTGGGATAAGGAGTTAAGTGGATGGATGGATGGATGGATGGATAGAATATTTGAACCTAAAGGTAATATTTCAATGGTTTAACACACACACACACACACACACACACACACACACACACACACACACACACATTATTTATTGATTATCCTGTTAAGTATCATGTTATAAAAATTGAACACACGGTTCTAGAAAGAAACAACTAATCTGTGTTGACATAAGAACTGATGAGTCATCCAGGGCTAATGATTTGCTATAAATGTGCATCTGTCATCAAATTCAAGTGGGATTCACTAATTCCCACTTGAATAACTGAGTGGACTCAAGCGGATCAGGGAATGGCATGGCAAAGGGGACAAAATGGGCATGATGGCATGTGACACGTGGATCTGAGGCAAATGGGGAAAAAAAGAGACTATCTAAGTTTCCTATTTCTATCACTAGCTGTTCTGCTGTGTGTGATAGGTATTCTGTATGGAGTGCTTCCTCAGCACTTCATCTTTGCAGGAGGTGAAGCTTTTCGAGGTGTCAGCAAAATGTCTGTGGGCCCAAGCTTTGTACCAGGGAGTCTGTCACATTTGTCTCTAGATAGTGGATTACTGAATTTCACAGACATACAGTAACTGCAATGGGCTCGCTTAGTTGCCCACTAGAGATTTTGCACATCTCCAGAGGGAAAAGGCATACTTTCACGTTAGACATGCTGTGACTAAAAAAAAAAGCAGGAAAAACAGAAATGAGGGAAATCTGAAATGCAAATGAAAGGCCTTTCAAGCCATGTCCTTGCATTGTGCTACTACCTGATAATGTGGATTACTAAAATTTAAGAGGTTCTGCATAAATCTCTGTTGAAAGCGACTCCTGATAAGATTTCATACTAAAAAAAGGACTTTTAAAAGAAAAAGTCAGTGACTATCCTAAGACTGCCAGTTAGGTTGGCTCTTTATTAACAAGTTTTAAAGAAAGAAAGAAAGCACTCAATTAATCAGTCAATCAATAGCTGATGTCCATCTTTTGCTCTTCATATAGACTGGTTACCTGCATGATATTAAAGCATATTTTCTAAAACTAATGATGACCATTTAAAGTTCTGCTTCCATGCATTTAAACTTTTATTACCAGGCTTCATCCACCAAGCAAGTTCTTTTCAAACTACTTAGTCTGAATTATGTGGCTCCTCAAAAACCCTTCTGGACACATTATCGGATAACAGTGGACCCATGAACCCAAGTTGCACTATATGGACAAAAATACTGGGCCGAATCTCTTAATTTTTGACTTCAGGTGTTTTTACTCCTATTGCCACGGGGGTATAAAATCAAGTAGATTCAGTGCGGTCTGCCGTCACATTTGTGAAGGAATGAGTCATTTAAAGGGGTCACTGAATTTGGGTGAGGTACTGCAAACAGGATGCCACCATCGCAACAAGTTAGTTTGTGAAATTTCTTCCCTCGTAGATATTCCACAGCCAACTGCGCATGGCATTTTTGCAAAGTGGAAGTGTTTAGAAACCACAGCAGGGTTAATCCTCTGGCATTAACATCAGCACAAAAGTGCACCAGGAGCTTCATGAGAAGCATTTCTATGCCAGTGCAGCTCCTTTGGGTGTAATGTGTAAGCGACCCAGTACTTTTGTCCATATAGTCTGGATACTGGATACATAGTTTAGAAGCTGTTTTTTTTAACCTTTGCAAACCTGAACCGCTTCTCACCCTTTGATAATCTGTAAAATGAATAAAACAGATGCAGACAGAGAGAGAAGGTAAAAAGGTAGAAAGTTCATTCATTCAGTAAACCCATAAGGTTCAGAAGCATGAAGATTATGTTGGCTGAGTGTTAGTGATCCATCAAAGGAAAGTCTGTTGTTCCATTTTTATCTGCCGCGGAGCCTTTCTTCCTTGTCTTACTTGGCAGTAACTCCCCCCAAACCTCCTCTGTCTCTCCTTCCCTTTTTCTTCCCCTCTGGTTCTTTCAGAACGTTTCTTGGGGTAAGCAGTACTCCTATGCCCTCTTCAAAGCCATGAGCCACATGCTGTGCATCGGTTATGGTGCCCGGGCACCCGTCAGCATGTCTGACCTTTGGGTCACCATGCTGAGTATGATTGTAGGAGCCACGTGCTACGCTATGTTTGTTGGCCATGCTACAGCTCTAATCCAATCACTGGATTCCTCACGGAGGCAGTACCAAGAGAAGGTAAGAGTCCTGCAGTGGCACACACAATATTAAATTCCTGAGATTTAAAAGAACACTGGGTATGACACATGGTATGATGTATGCGTACACATCTTTAATGGTTTGTTGTTTTAAGGTAAGTTAAGCTAAGTACTACTGAGATTAATGTGGTTTTTTTCTTTTTTTGCGACTCTGTAAAGTCCTGCTCATTGGAGCTGGATTTAAATAAATTAGGCCTCAATTACACTGTGGACCAATAGGTTGAGCTCTCACAATATAAATATAAATATATCCGCAGCGATGACTAGGAAAGAGGATTTCCTACCTACCCCCAAGCAGCTCTCTTAAGGTCAACAGGGTGATGAGGTCTATGACATAAGCAGCCACCTCACTGTCTGTATGCTGCCAGTGGACACATTTTATTTTTCCCTTTTCCTTCAGTTCCTATTACGTCATTACATCTTTCTTTTTTTTTCACGTGGAGGATGATTATCCAGCATTTCAACTGAGCCACCATCTGTGATCCCGCTGTGGGGCCTGGGCAATTCCCAGAACACCCAGCCATGACTGATGCGCTTTGTGTTTGCACGCAAGAAGCAGAGTTTAACTCCCAAACTTTGCCTGTGCTTATGCTGCAGAACGCATTGTACATACCACACTGTTGGGCGTGGGGATTAGTCCTCTATGGTATGTCTTCATCCACAAACAAGTTTAGGATTAAAATAACTTAATCTTTAACTTACAGGATGATGTAAGAACAGTTACATCAGGTCACACTGATTTTGTAAGACCCTCCTTTTCTTCCCAAAGGAAATAGTTTTTTTCAAATATGATATAAAGACAGTGAGTCAGCTGAAATGCGATTAACAGAAAGCGCTAATTATCTTGTCTTAGTACATTCTTATTTACTATGACATGCTGTGTGTGCGAGAGCTGAAACAATTACTCAGAAATTAAGTCTTTAACAGTGTTTAATGCAGGGTTTATTCTTCAAGCCATTTTTCACCCAGTAATGGAGTCTAATTCCTGCATTTCAGTATATTTTTTATTTTAAGCATTTGCTACTTTTCCGTGTCAAGTGATATCAGAAGTGGCAATAATTAAATAACTAAAGCCAATAAATCTTCATATACAAGTTGTTCAGTTTGTTATTTAAGACAATTTTTCAGTATTTGTCTATGATTTCAGAAAAATTATTTAGATATTATTTAAATAAAAAGCAATTAAACAGATTAATTTAGAATATAAGAAATAAAACTGATGTTTTCCCTTTAAGTTTTCATCATTTTTTAAATTATATTATGAAAATGGGTTATAATGGGTCAGGAAGTTAAAATTATTATTAGCAATTACTTTGATTTTTTCCCCATGTAATTATTCATCTTTTAATGATCTATAAAAAATTTCATGTGTTTTAACAGCACACTTTTTGAGTCCCTGAATTCAATGAATGTTGATCATATCCATCCACTAAGCGAGCCCTCCGGCAGCTTGCATCCCTGTTGAGTTCATCAGAACATATCCACACAAACGCGCACACAGAGGCACGACTGGACAGAGGTACAAAGCACACATTATTTATCCTTCCAGAGATGTAGCCATAATTCTTATCAGAGCGTTGGTAAAGTCACCTTGGCTATTACAGGACGTGCTAAAATACCACTTCGTTAATTTACACCTTGCTTATAAAATCATTTAGCCATTGTCGGTTTATTCAAGTGTGATGGCCCGACCTTGCCAGCTGTCCTCATGGTCAGTCCAATCTAGAGGAACATCCCCCCTCGGTGCGTTTTGGCACCACATTGCAATCTTACATGTCACCTAAAACTTGAAATTAAAACTGCAGTTTCTATTGTCTTTGCAAAAGTGTTATCACAAATCAGCACAAATTAGTAAAATGCACATTTATCATTAGCGATACAAAGATCAGATAAATCAGATCAGATGAAACTAACAGATTCAAAGAACAAGACAGCAAATAAAAGGGCTATAATAAAAAAGAATTAATGGAATGCTGACTGATCATTAATATGCAGATATAATTATGAATTATATTCACAGCATAGCAAAAAAAATTAAAAAATCATGACGGCAGGTTGCCCTCAACAAACAAGCGAGCCGTGCCAAGTCACTGTTTGAATTAGTGGCACATCTCCAGCTCAGTTGCTCCAAAGCAGATGCACATCACACACTATTTTTAATCTACATCCCTTTCCGTCCCTCTAACGTCACCCCAGGAATCGAACTGACAGCTTCGGGGCCGCAAATGCCATGTTCATGGTAACAGAGCTCCAGTGTGGAGCCAGGTTCAGCAAGGGCTGATTTGCTGCATGGCTGTGCATATCAGTGGAGCAGGCTGCAGAGCAGCAGGGATGGGTTCAGGGTGTTGAGCCTCTAGCCATTACATCTATCACTGCCACAGCTGGGGGGTTGGAAACATGGATGGAGAGATGGATGGGGATGCGAGGTTATAAGTTATCTGAGGCCGGAGGATGTTTATGACAAGAACATGATGAGCAGTAAGTAAGAAAGTAAAGTGATTGTTGTTGATAGGTTCTACTTAATTTCCAAAAACTCAAAAACTAATTTTGTCCAGACTAGGAGAAAAGAAAAACAGACCAAGCAAAAGCTATAGAGAAGAGAGGAAACAGAAATAGTGGGAGGAGAGGGAAGGAAATGAGGGTTTAAAGTATGTATGATATAGAGACATGTCTGCTGTGAAGCCCTGGTGCTGCCACAGTGCAGCTGAGTTGCTCTTTAAGATATGTCCAAGATGTCCCACATTTCATATTTCGGTCTGAGGTTCAATGCAAAGCTAATGTAACTACCTCCCTCCTCTGAAATATTGCAAAGATAATTAAATCGTTTTAAAACAAGTTTCTGCAACATAAACAATTCTGTAAAGGAATACTGTGACCGTGCACCCATCAGATGTCAAACACAGCGTCTTGCAATTACATTTATGTCATGCAAGCACTACAAATGGGGTTGCATTTGAATGCATCGTCCTCTGCGTGACACAGACGGGTATTAGATCAATTCCTGCTCAATAAAAGAAGTGTTGAGCACACACACAAAGTGGATGAAGCATTTCAAGTCTTTGCACTAATTGCCTGCCCTCTTTAAACTGTCCTTCATGTCTTAGAACACATTCTGCAACAGAGGAGGTTTCATCATTTTACATAATGCTGCTAAACATATATTTATGGGTGATGTTTAACTTTGCAAATTGCAGTGCGCCTGGGTTAAATTAGATCCACAGGAATGCCCCAGGAGTGCCATCAGCCAGGAAAGAAGTGGGTTCTGCCAAGTGGCACATCCCAGTGTGGGTGTTAGTCTGACTGGGCCCTGACTATTTCTAGAGAGAGAGAGCGAGAGAGTGAGAGAGAGAGGGGGGATAAAGAGAGAAATGGATGAGGTGGGATAATGAGGAATGTAGTCAGCATTTATCTAAATTGCTCCTTTAGAAAGTAATTAACCAATAAAATTACACGTCTGAATTAATATGAGAATGGAAATTAGTCATAATGAAAAGATAATGTGACGTTAAAGCTGAAGGCCCCATATCGAGCCTAAAATGTGCCCCCATTGCCTTACTCTGTGCCCCACCCTGACCACCCGAGTCAAAATGGACCGGTTGAGCCCCTGCAGACACCTTCTGACTTCGGCTGTGTGAACTCAAAATAAATCAATTTCCCGCAAACAAAGCTCTGGTCCCTTATCACCTTTCTGCAGCCGGGTGAGAAATCAATGAGGGAGGCACTGGGACTCGAGTGGCTCCTCTCGCTAACAAATATCGTTTTATGGGGCTGCCTGCGTCACATTGGTCAAAGCCTCTCAAACTGAACTGTCCTACCAGCCTCGCAGCTGCTGCTGGCTCTCACCTACAGTACTGCTCTATTCTCTTTGTTGAGGTTCATTTTCAGGTGTGGGGCTTTGGCCGTGCTCGCCGACTACTCAAAATAAATGAGCCAAAGTTTTTTCTGTGTTCCTGTGGGTCAGTACTTGCCTCCAGGATAATGCAGCTGGACGTTACGCTCCTGCTAATTTTTAGTTAATTACTGGAAACAGGATGTAGAAACGGGATCGTATATCTTTTAATTGAAGTAGTTATTTAATGATTTCACTCTTCTTTTATTTGGTTTTTACTTATATCTTATGTAATTTTATTTTACAGTTCCAATGTACAGCACTTTGTGTCAGCTGTGGTTGTTTTAAAGTGCTTTATAAATAAAGTTGATGATGATGATGATGATCTTAGTTAGCCAGAAAAACAGAGATGGCAAGTGTACAGACTCTGTCCTCGCTCCTTTTTAATGTCACACCAATATACTTTTTTAAAAAAGAAATTCTACTTTTTATAATTCGTAGCATCTCAAAAGGATTTATTCACTGTATGTCCAGCTAAATCTAAGGACTTGAAATTTATTCTTATTTGTCAGAACTGTATTTAAAGTGCAGACAGTTCTCTTCTCAGTTATTAAACAACGCAAAAACCAATGCAAATTATTTGAAAATTATTATTTTAACATTATTTGCATATTAATGTGATAGTAGGCGAAAATTAAGTTGATTGTAATGATGAAACGTGAGCAGTTTAAAGTGCTCAAAAATGACATTTTAATGTAAACAAGAAAAAACAAAGACAGGAAAGGAAAGAGGAGTCATAGAATCGAAGCTATAATCCTCATTGAATTTAATTCAATTCAGTTTCATTTATAGCAATAAATCACAACACCTGTCACCTCAAGATGCTCTATATTATAAGGTGAAGACCCTATGATAATATATAATGTGGTCAAAAGGAGAATTCTTCTTTGAAAATCACCCAATAGCCTCTTATGCTCCTGGATACTAGGTATGCCTCGCTTGTTCGCATTACAGCATAGCTCGGTTGCCTATTAGCACTGGGCTTCCTGCATCGGTGAGATAATCTGCTGCTACCTTGGTCTGACATAGCCCCGGGCCTGTACTCGTTCCTACTTTCTTCACCACCTGCCTCTCTTGTTCTGCCTCTCCCTCCCCACACGCAGAACCAGGACATGGCACTGTGACTGTGTGAGAGCACGCCTTGTCCTCAATACAGAGACACAAATATGCACTCTGTGTAGACCACATTTTTGTTGCTTTGCTGTTTATTAAAGGTGCGATTTCCAAATAAATATAAAACTTGAGACTTTACTGGGACTGCTTTAAGATATCAGATTTTTTTTTTTACATGTTAAGCTGTTAAGTGATGACTGTTTTTCTTTGTCTCTTCTAGTATAAGCAAGTGGAGCAATACATGTCCTTCCACAAGCTTCCAGCAGACATGAGACAGAAAATCCATGACTACTATGAGCACCGCTACCAAGGGAAAATCTTTGATGAGGAAAACATCCTGAGTGAACTCAACGACCCACTCAAAGAGGTGACACAACATTTTAGAAGCTCCGTTCTTGAGTATCATTTAGAAATCTGCAGATTTTTCCTTTAGAACGCTCTGAATTTATTTTTGGAACCTTAATAAAAAAAATAGACACTGAAAGGTAGGTGTCACGATGTCTTAGTTTTGGAACATAAGTTAGATCTATTTTTCTTTTTTTTCTGAACATAAGCAGTGAATCTTTATTTGGGTGCAGCACATTAAACTGAAACACCTGTCATCTCATCTTACAAGGTCAGGAAGAAAAAGAGCAAAACGGAGTCTCCCCAGGTGAAACTAGACTGGCTGAAAGTCAAAATAGGAAAACATTTCCTACAGAAGCACCTCCTGTGCCTCTCTTTCACTTGTGATAAACTCCAAGAGTGTGTGATTTACAGAGCTGTTAAACAACTGCCACAGAGGTAATGAGACAGAGCAATAAAGGTTACTGTGACGTCAAGCACTAGTTTTGGTCCTTGGACGACCTCCGCCATAAGCACATTACATGTGTAATTATGCAAAGGGATATTAGGGAGCAGCGGAGTAAGAAGTGAATGTAGGATAAATGTAGTGTAGGAATCCTGACCAGCTCTCATAAAGCCCCATTAAGTCACCTTGCAAAGTTATATGCTCAAGAGATGAATGCTACGGTGTGCAGAGTTGCTGCAGAGTCCCAAGCACTTACAAGAAAGGTGCAGGGATTTAAAGGGACAGTAAAACACGGGCTTAGTTCAATATGTGTACTAAGCAAAGGTTAAATCCAGCTTAAACTGAGAGAGATCGATAATAGCAAACATGCTCACATCAGAGCAATTTCAGTAAGTCTTACATTTTGTTGTAATTTTATGTACAGTGTTAAAAAAAATAGTTAGACCACCTGTTATACAATCAAGAAATAATACACATATATCTGCCAAATCTGCCAAAATTCACATTTTTATGCCCAGATTGAATACAGATTCTTCATTATCAAAAAACATGAAGCAATTATTTTGAACAAGGTTTATTTCTTTAATTAATAAATTATTAATTGGTATAACTGAATGAGTACCAGTCGAGTCAATTTAATTTAACCAGATTGAATAAAATTATTTTTAGCTTCGTTTGACAAAATTTAACATTTAATGTTGTACTATATAACAAACTACGTGGAAAATGTATATGTAATTAAATCTGGGAATTGTTTTTTTGTACATATTTAAACTTCTTTCTGTAATTAATCAGTTATAACATTGAATCACCAAAACTCATTTTCCTGTTCAGGAATGTAAGTAAATGACTGTAATTTGGCATCTCAAAAATAATAAAGGGCTTTACTATTTTTTTTTGTGAAACATTATATATTACAATTTCAAATAAATAGCTGCATCTGCTGGTTGATGAACCATTACAGAAGCTAACAAAATGATATGTGTGATTACTAGTACTGTTCATTTAAGGCACCCATGGCATATGCCTCAATCTGAGTGTCGGTCTAATAAATTTGATAATTACTGGAAATTTTTTAATATGAAAACCTAATTAGACACCAAAACTTGACTAAGCTTTATTACATTACAAGACAGTGTCCGTCTGATTCGTCATCTGTAATGTGGCAGCTTTGACTTAGTGTCAGCTGACTGCACTTCTGTTCTTATCAGTCTATCCAACAACTGAGGCGCCGTGGTTTCCCCCATGTCAGGTGTGCAGCCTGTTTCCTCTCTGTTTCTAAAAGTATGCTCTTTATTTGATCTCCCATCACCAAAGTAGGTCACTTTACTGCTGGTAGAGTAATATGCCCTTTATTACTTTAATAGACACTTAAACAAATACCACGCTATAAGAAAAACAATAATTAAGCTTACCTACATCTTTATCACAATAACGACTAGGTCTGCTGGGCACCGCACAGTTTAAGCTGTTGTGCACCTCATCTGTGTGCATTTGTCAGAGCAACAGTACAATTATGTTTTCCTGTTCAGCTGTAATAAACCAGATGATTAAGTATTTTGTGGGAGGGAGCAAACTTCTCCCATAGATTTCCACTCCACTGAGTGCTCTGATGAACTGCTGAAGGCCACTACATTGGCATGCTTGGATGACGTAAAAACTGGTGAAATAATCGGAATGACTTAGTTTGATTAATCTCTTTCTGTGAGCTGTTTTTTAGCCGAAAGTACCTGAATGTCCGTTTCACTCAGGATCTTCTGACCAGCAGATTATAGCTCTTGCTAAGTTTGGTTTTTTTTGTTTGTTTCTTTTTTCTCAGCATATTTTGAATACATTTACAGTCTAAAAATAGAAAGGTCGAGTCATACCAACTATTGTCATGTTTGTCATTGTGGTATGACCACTGCCTTCTTATGTTTAAAATAGGGTATAGTATATTTTACCCAGAGTGAACAGCTCGGTAGGAGATTGGGTAAAAAAGGTTAAATTTGGGGAGATAAAGAGCAACAATGTAGAGCTTTTCCACAGCTCATTTAACGAAAATCAATTAATGTGGCTGTAAACCTGACCATCATCAGTAAAGCCAGGACACTTTCAGACAGACTGAAACCTAAGTGGTTCTGATTGCCACTGAGTATGGACAATCTGTGGGGTCCTGACTTAGAGGTCAATTTGGGAACCGAATTAGCTCCACTTCGCACCACTCAGGCTAGGTAAGAATGCCGAATCAGTTAAAGCATACTTATAACTGATTGTGGCAAGCCAGTTATCACAAGTCTGCAAAACAATTATGCTGCTACTGCTGCTGTAGGCTTAAACGATCTCCAGATTTTGTACGGACTTCACTTGGGTTACAAAACCAAAAGATGTATATCCTGTGTAAGATGATTCCACCACTATATACATTTTTACATTTATGTCAGAATATTTCTACATCTGCAGAGCTTTTCCAAATTTCCCTGCTGGTTTTAACTTATTCATTTGGTGAACTGTAAAGATCATCCTAAGACAGGCAATCCATCAACATATTGAACAGTTTGTTGCCACGGGCAGACTTCGCTTTAAAGAAAAAGACGTGTTGCATTCAAGGACGCTGCAACATCCAATAATTGATTGTGAGCTCCTAAAAACAGTATTGCATTGATTATCTCTGGTAGCTGACAACCTGATGTACAATGTAGACGAGCAAAGATGAACACGAAGGAAAACAAGGACAAAGTAACCTTGACAAAAAATAATATTAAAAGAAGAAAAAAAACCACGTTGTGATCAACGTTTTTCTAAGGTGACTTTCAGACTGTCGTAAAACAAGAACATCTGAAGCATGTATAGGGATTCAATACAGTTGAATTAGATGAAGTTTGAAGCTAATCGGCTAAAATATGCTAAACCAGAGTCCACACAGCCTAAGAGCCAGACTGTTTTGCTGCTCTGTCTCTCCCCCCTGCTCCCTTCCTCGCCTCTGTCTCACTGCCTTTTATTCTTTGCCATATGACAAATCTTTAAATAGGCATAGCCAAACATTGTTTTCCCAGGAGGAATCCTGACTGTGCATGAAAAGTGCTTACTATCGTATTCATTAGTTCTGGTGCTTGATTGAGGTCGGAGTTGTGGCTTTACCTGACACCGGCTTCTGAAGCTTAGCTAACATATTTTTTGCCCTCGTGGAGCCAGCAAGCATTTCAGAGATTGGTTATCTTTCTGTTAATGTCCTGTTGTCAGTGGAGGGGAGTTATCCCTCATGTGGGGTCAACAACACATCGCTGCAGATGCCAAGTGCCCCAGCTTTCCATCTGCACAGCAACAGAGATGTGTGGGTAAACACACAACAAGCTCCTAATCTGCTGCTGGGTCTGAGGGGACAGGATGGGCCAGAGAGATGGCCTGCAGCCGGCACCAGAGGGCAAACTCATCAGGATATGAATTGCGTGCCAAAAAGTTTCTTCGCAGGAGAAATGGAAAGTGCTTTAGGAGCATTAGGGATAAAGCAGCAATATGCATTCCAATTCATTTATGTTTGCAGATACTGTGAAGGCGGCAGAGATGAAAGATTTGAGGTGGTGTTCTGTGTCAGGCTGCCGAACTGAAGCTCATTTTTCACTTTTGGGTGGAAATAACTGAATTATTGATGGCATGATCTCATCTGTTAAATCAACACTTTTCTTTTTCCTTTTTTTCCCCCCTCCACCAGGAAATTGTCAACTTCAACTGCCGCAAGCTTGTGGCCACCATGCCTCTGTTTGCCAATGCGGACCCCAACTTTGTGACGGGAATGCTGAGCAAGTTGAAGTTTGAAGTTTTCCAGCCCAACGATTACATTATCAGGGAAGGCACAGTGGGGAAAAAGATGTACTTTATTCAACATGGCGTTGCAAGTGTCATCACCAAGTTCAACAAGGAGATGAAGCTGACTGATGGATCCTATTTTGGAGGTAAGAAATGTAACTATAAACACTGGAAATTGAACTTCAGTTGCTTTTTTTTCCTGGAGTATTTGCTTATTGTGATTTGTTTTCACATTAAAATCCAAATGTTAGCTACATATTCCACTGTGCTTCTTACATCAATGCACACTGTGTTCTTAGAGTTATACCATATATATGAGACTAGCCTGAGGCCTTTAATGCTTTTTGAAGTTAAGTTATTGTAAATGTAGATTCTCATTAACCACTGTTGGATGTTAGTCAGCTTTCGCTTTTACGTAACCTCTCATCTGGTTGCTGGAGTGGGCCAAGAGGTGGATCAGGCATCCCTTAGGACACACAGAGGTCCCTCCCCCATCCTCTCACACACACACACACACACACACACACACACACACACACACACACACACACACACACATGAGCATCTATATGTTCCCGCTGCATTCACTTGGCACGGTGTAAAACAAGGAGCAGTTTCCCAGTTCTGTCGTCTGCTGTGCTCTGCTTCTTCCTCTCTCTTTCTCTCGGCACGCTTCCCACTCCCCATCCAAAGCGTTCCAGATATCATTAATTTTTTAAATGTCAAATGTAATTTCATTGCACTTTGTTTACTCCGACAAAATCTGCAGGCAGACATTGTCGTATCTCTGTGAAAGCAAAGCAAAGTTTCCTATTTTAGAGGTTCTTGCATATTTTATCTCCTGAGTTCATCCCCACTATGGAAGGAGGCTGACGAGTCTAAGAATACCTTCACTTTGGTGTGTCTGTTCCATGCAGTTCACGTCTCAGAGGCGAGCCATGGAACGAAGCGAATCAAAGAAAAAAGAAAAGAAAGAAATGCATCGACTTTTTTTTTCTTCCCTTGCTTGTTCAAAACACAGGAGTACTGACATACACTCTTTCATCAGTTAGCAAAGATACCTGCTTCAGATATGTAGTTTCACATATGGGTGGCTTTAAACTCTGCATTAAGTAATGTAGTGATTTGCTGGAAGTGCATGTGTGTCGTATTCAGGCTTTGTATCCTCTGAGGCTGTAGCTCAGAGACATTTTGCTCAGTGACACAGAACAAGCAGATCATGTTTATGAAACTAAGGTGAAATATCAGGATAACGCCTTTGGCCAACTTGGCTCTAATAAAAGGATGTTAATAGGATGTATTTTTTTTCTACACCCTAGAGCCTAGCGTTGTGCTACAGTCAGCACAAACACCTAAGAAAATATTAATTTTCAAAAAAGAAAAAACATTAATTGAAAATTAAGAAAACAAATTAGGAAGCTGGAAACAGATTATGGTTAGCATTTTTAATTAATGATAAGGCTACATAGTTGTGTGAGTAACCATTTGAGCTTTAGCCTAAAGTACAATAGCAATAAGTAGCAAATAGCAAACTGTTCAGTCAGTATTAAGATGAAGCAGTTCTTATGAAGACTGACCTCGTACGATCATCAGATTGCCCACCCCCAAGTTTAGTTAGTATTTCAAAAAGATGGAGGGTTCACAGTGAGCGATCAGCATCTAATATAAGCCTAATTATAAAAATGAAAATATAAATTAAGAACATACACTAACATTTAATGAGTCATGTGATAAATTAAATTAGGGATGCACTGTAAATTGTTCACCCAATAAAAAGGGGTGAACAGCCCCACCAGAGCTGCTGCCTTCTGCCCTGTTGGTATTTTTATTTTGTATTTGTTTGGCATTAGCCTTGCGTTGGGAGCAGCTGGCTATGCCCGGCATCTCACTCTACCCCCTTTTCTCAGATGATTTACACTCCCCTTACAACCAGGCCAGATCGTGGCCAGAATGAAAAATCAGCGAGGGGGACTGAGACAGCTTCAGAGATGGAGAGAGCGAGTTACAAAACTGAGCCCAGACACAGGAAACTATTACCATAGTAATGAGTAGGACATCTATGAGAACAGTAGGTCACAAAGCACCTCTGACAATGGTCAGTGACTCACCTGCATGCTAAAGAGATATCATAGTAATCACAGGTGAGCGTGGTGAATGAGCGTACACATTGGCGTCACACAGCTCTGTGAGGCCGAGGTACTAAAGAGACCACAGTGCAGGGACAATGACCGACAGGGGATTTAAATCCAGATTTGGCTTTAATGTCTTTAATGTCATATGAGACATTTCCACAGCACCAGCCGCAAGTAGAGACGAGGGAAGAAGAGCTCGTTGCCTCGAGTGTGTGACACAAAAAGTGATGACAAATTATCCGCAATGCCCCAGGGTTCAACAGTGATGCTTTGTGACAAGGCAACAGACACGTGTCAAACCGCATCACTGGAAGTGTTAACAGGGCTCTAACTTACAAACACACACACAAAACATACCTAGGAATGCCACGTTTGCACACTGAGGCTCCAGAAAATGGTATTAAACTTACAATTGTGCTGTGGGGGGCTGAGGATGTTAATGGAGACAAAGTTTGTTCAGAAAAGACAGGCTCATGTGTGTCTAATGTCAAACAACATTTAAAAAACTATAGCAGCTTACACAATACTGTCAACATACTAGTGTGGAAGTTTAGTATGAAGCCATGAGAAAAGAGAAAGAGAGATGGCAGATGAAAGCCAGTCATAACTGATTTACATTGTGATGGAAAAACTGAGAGGCAGAAAATGAAGAAGAGGTCTGAAGCAGGTTATGGTTTCACATAGCACACTCTGGGTCCAGGTGTCTCCAGCTGACTCCACCCACCTGCTGCAGCGTAGAAATAGAAAATGCAGACAGCTAAGCAGTGTCTTATCTGAGTAACTGTGTTTCTGGCCTGCATCTTAGCATAGATAAGTCACAGAAACCCAGAAAAGCAGCACTGTGCATATGCATATGCACATATAACCAGAAACTCCTAAGTCCTCTTACAGATGTTCCTAACTGTACTTAGACATATGTTAGACATAGGATGCTAGGCCAAAAAAAGAGTGTTACCTTTATACTGGAGGAGAAGCTACAGGTAACTAGACTCAGTTCAATTAAAAAAAAGAGAAGAAAAAAAAGCTCAGAACCAACTTTTTTTTTTGCCTGTCCCGTTTGGCTCTTTTGCCATCAGAATTATTGTCTAAAGGCGAAGAAAGATGCCCAACGGATTTACTTTACCAAATGGACCATCCCAGCCTTGCCGTAATGGTCTATTTGATTCACCTTTTATTGTTTATTTTATTTTCACTTGCTAAATACGGGACAGATTTGACTGGGGAAAGGAAAGGGGAGAAAGAAAGAGGGAAAGAAAAACAGCTGAGAAGAGGGACGGGGATAAAGGGCAAAAAACAAAAACCAACAAAATAAGCAGACAAAAAAATACATAAATCAATCACCTGGATCACCTGTTGAGAAAGAAAAAGAGAAAACAAGCGGAAAAAAGAGCAACATAATAAACAACATCACGATGATCTATGTGAATATAACAGTAATATAACAGCTGGCTGCTCCGCCGGCAGCCAGCTGTGCCAGAGTGACCGAGCCCCAGGCCGAGAGGCCGAGGGCACCCATCCCTGGCCCCAAGGCTCCAGGCCCCGACAAGCAGCCACCAAGGAGTGAGCCGGTGGGTACCTGGACGCCCATCCCCAGACACAAAGAACCACCAACGCACTGATGTCTGAGGGAGTCTGCCACTGGCAGGGGAAGTGGTGGGGGAGATAGGCCTCCATACCTTGGAGGGCCTGAAATGTCCCAACATTTTTACAAGCTTTTGAATTTAGTGAAGACTCTATGATATCGTTCTCATTCAGTGCCAAAGCAGGTCAAACTTTGGAGAGTATAAGTTATTTTCAGTTCGCCCACTCAGCTGATTAACTCCCCTTTGTTTTTAACTGAGTCACTGGCTGCTACGTGTCAAGCTAGCACATTAGTCTCTAGATGTCTCCAGTTTACTGGTATACCAGAGTGTTTTCTTAAAGATAAACCAACCACTCTTTGTACTTCACTCTACTTGTGTTTGTTTATCCCCTTGAACATGACGCAGGTTTTTCTCTCTCTGTGCGTCTGCTTGCATTAGTGGATGTACCAGTGACAGTGAATCTTTTTCCATTAAAACAGCACTAACACCTTATTCGCACGCACAGCTTGAGAGTGTTGCTCACACATCTTGCACTCTCTGTGCTCTATTTTCATGACAGCTCCTGGCAGAGCCCAGAAAGATCACACCATAACAAGTTAACATTTAACGATTTAATGAAGATGGAAGTCGTGCAGTGGACTGGACAAATGTGGGTGTGGGTTCAGCGGTGTTAAAGATTCAGAGAAAGAAAATTAAGGGAAGGATTGTTCACATTCAACTTCTGGATGAGCTCAGACACTGTATCAGTCAGATTTTACAGTCATATACACTGTTAAGCACTGTAAGCTTCTTGGTGGGTACCAAAAGCATCAGGTTGACTTCCTACTTCCAAATGGAAATTGAATCAAATACCCTGTACTGTGTACTTTTGACCCACTAATAATTAGAGAAAATCTGAAATAAATTCAAAATTGTGCACCCAGTTCTTGTATTTCAAAGCATTAAAGATGTATGCAGTACAATCAAGCTACCTGGGAAAAAGAAATAAATAGAAGCCCCAGCACGACATTTATGCCCAACTTGTACACTCTGACCTCAGCTGCACCTTTGAGCATTCACAGTGCCTTCTCAGACGTCCATATAGCCAATTTCATAGGCACTAATGGACCTCTGTATCAACAAAGATTTAGGCTTTTTGAACTGAGTGCTAATAACAAGCTCCCTCTCCTCTTAAGTTCAGAGGATGTGGCATCCATCTTTTCAAAAAAAGTATTTCAAATTTCACTTCATCTGATCACAGAACAGTTTTACACTTCGCCTCAGTTTTGGCCCAGGAAAGACAGCAGTGTGTCTGGATCTGTTTCTTCTCCCGAGATGAAATGAGCTCATATTTTTTTACAAAAGACTAAAAATGTAGTGCATTTGTTGTCCGTGTTAACTGTAAATAAAATATGGGTGTATAAGTACTCTTTCCACACTGACGACAATGACACAAAACAAGAAAAATGCTATAGCTACAGTATATTATTGCTAATAATAAAATGTAATTACTATTAGTAATGATGATCTGAGTAATTTTAGTGTATATGGTACTCTTGTGTTTAATTTCACACATAAAGACAAGCATGCTGTGTTATCTAGTGTGAAGAAGACTGCAAAGTTAATTATGATCCAATGCTGATGAATTCTTCTGTTCTATTCACATCTTGTCGTGTCAGTAAGAAATATTTCGGTCTCGTCCTCTTAACGCGGTGCATTGAGCCCGCCCTGTTTTTTCTTAATAAAGCTTGGTACTGTATCATATTATTGCACTATTATATCTCCGCAGCATGATGAATTATCTTAGCGTAATGCAAGTGACAGCACTGCTGATGGGCTTCACATTCTATTTGCATTCACATTAGCTTCTTCTCCTGTACCCTTTGTACTCAAGGCTCATTTATATGAGAATACTGTATGTACTGTAATTACTAGGATGATTCCCTCCTGTACATTTCACTCCTGTTACAGTTTCATCATGTGTCCTCTTTGTTTTCCTTTACCTGCCCTATAGAGATCTGTCTGCTCACCAAGGGCAGACGAACGGCGAGTGTGCGTGCAGACACCTATTGTCGACTCTTCTCCCTCTCTGTTGACCATTTCAATGAGGTGCTAGAAGAGTACCCAATGATGCGACGCGCTTTTGAAACGGTCGCCATTGACCGATTGGACCGCATTGGTAAGACCTACGAGCTTCATTTCTCTCTGATTGTTTGGATCTCTTGCCTGTCATAGTGCCTTGTTGTCTTGTCTTTATCAGTATTTGTTTGCCTTCTTTCCTCATAAAAGCATTGTGTCTGCCATCTTGTGCTGCATGACCTGTATGCTCTCTATTGATTTCTTTTTTTCTCGTGTCTCTTTCTTTACCTTAAAAAAAATATTACATATTAAAGAAAATTTTGATGTTACCAGCATTAATCCTTCTAAAGAAACAAAGTAGCGTTTTGTGGTTGGATTAACTGGAAGGCAGTGCATGTCGCTGTCCGGGAGGGAGTCAGGTCGCCCCCTCGTTGGTTTGGTGTTGACCCCCCCACTGGATGTCAGCGAGTGGATCGAAGCTAACCTCACATGCATGTGTGTCTGGCCCTCTTTCCACTCATCTGCACTCCTGGGTATGAGCAGCACCCCACCCCATGTTAGAGTTCTCAAAATCCCCATAAAAAGAAACAAAGAGCTGGGTCAGGTAACAAGAGAGCCCCCACATTCACCGGGTCCAGTCGAGGACCTTGTGTAGCTTGATTCAGTCATCACATTATTTTTACTGTCTAGTAGAGAAATGTTTCAAGAGAAATTCAATCATGACAGATGATAGTTCAATACGTGATCACAATTTAGACACAGAGTCTTGTTAAAAAAAAGGGGCACATGTATGTAACGCAAACAGGGCAGTAATTGGTTGCACTGATCCTAATGTCGCACATTCTCCAACTTCGTTAAGTTCTTACGTCTGCTCTAACATTTTCTATAAGATTCCATTATGAATGACTTGAAAGTAATAACTCAGCATGCTTCATGTATAAGTTAGGCACACTGTTACATTACTTTCCACTTGTGTCACAGTGGAGCAGGAAAGATATTTAACGAATTATACTGCAGATTATTTTACTATACTTTTTATACGATGTGGTATCTATGTAGTCTGATCCAACCGCTGGGCTGGGTAATCTCATTAGTTACTCTAAGAATATCTGAATTAATGTAGTGATCTTGTTATCCAATGTCTATCTAGGTAGAAGAATTTGAATTTTACTGCACTGTAAAGTCTCTAAAGCCTAGCAGGAATGTTCCTACTCCTTATATAATGCTCTGGGATTATCAAGCTAGAAATGACATGATATCTCGACAGTAATATCTTATATTTTAGACTATAATTTAGAGCTTTTCCAGCATGTGCTAGGTTTGCCCACAGATTTAATCAGGGCACCATACACCTTTTTTCAGCGCAGCCATTTTGACGTTACACAGTAGGTAAACACAGTTTCTCATCACTATAATTAAGGCTTGCACATAAATACCACAGAACCCTAATTAATGTCACTAGAAACACCTGTATTTGAATACTATGGTGTGTCTAAATGACTGCTCTGAAAAGAAGGTGGTTTGTTAAGTTAATTAATCAGGTGCAGCCTATTTGTCAAAAAAAAAAAAACCTGGGTGATGTTCCCCATATGAAGACTGTTAAATGTTTTACCTTTTTGAAGCAACACTGCTTCCATGCTTTTATTGTAGCACATATGCAAAAAAAAAAAAAGCCAAATCCTCTCACTCTGTATCTCTACTGGCTCTACTAATAAAGCCACCTTCTTGTCTTGTCCGTTTTTTTTATGTCTGTAGATCGATTACTAAAAGAGGCCGTAATGTTGTTAATGATTTGTTTAACGTGGAAACAGTTTCACCTAAAAACAGGGAAAAAAGTAACTAAATAAAAATTCTTGAATTTGCAACTTCACAGTTTTCCTGTGTTGTCTCATGTTAGTTTTGCAGTAACTACATTTCTGTCAGATATTGCTGTTTTTTCCTTGTCATGTCTTTCTATCTGTGGTTTAGTTTTGCCTGAGACAGGCACATTAATAATTGCAAATTGCTTTGTAACCCAAATGTTGACTCAAAATTGGAATCCCATAGTGTTGAAATCAATCAAACTCCAACAAGTGATGTATCTCATCGTCATGGCACGTGCTCCTCAGAATTATGTTCATATTCAACTATAAGCTGGTGGGTGGGCAGAGGGGGTAATGTTGACTGATGACTGGATTATTCTAAAATTCCTGACAAAACACACAACACACGTGTGTCAAAAAGAAGATCGACTATCGTTTTGAAGGTTTGAGTTTAGCATTTTGGTTTTTTCCATTTTTAGTTAGTTAAACTTAGAGATCACAAGCAAGACGTAGATGTGACTGTGAACTTGAAGGCACTGCACCCCCATACTAGGGATGTCACAGTACCAGAAATTTAGTAGCTGGTACCAATACCAATAGAATTACACGATTCTAGGTATTCAGTTTGATTAAGAAAAAGAGAAATTACCCAGTGTACTTAAACACAAGCTGCTTTATGGAAAAAAATTAATACGACAAGAATGTTAGCTCTGTAAATAAAAGCAACAGTGGAGAACAGAACAGAGACTGAAATGTTAGGATGGTTGCTGAGTAGCCTTTGAGGTATGATATTAGTTAGGGGGTTGTGTGTTATCTTGAGCTCTTTAGGTAATGTTATGTTTATGGATTTTACATCGGCAGTGCCAGCTGTGACAGACAAGGGGCTGATGTATAATTTCAGGACAACAACCAAAATGCTCTGGAAGTAAATAAGAACCGAACCCTCACTCAACTTGATTTCTGGATCTGGTCTTTTAGATGGTTCGCTAAATTTTAAGTATTTGCTCCTGTAAAATGCAAATAAAAACTGTGTGCAGTAATAATTTTCTTAAATTATATGTTTTTGCAGTTCAAACTGTTTTCTATTTACCTTTGTGAGCAAAATATGGGTTTACGAGATTTGCAAATTCTTGGATTCTGTTCTTATTTACATTTTAACCAGTTCCCCAACTTTTTTGGAGCAGGGTTTATATGTCCACGTCCAACTTTTACTGCTGTTGGGGCAGAGCTGTCACAGTAGCTGCACTACAGTACTCAACATCTTTGAGATGTAGTTTTTCCTGTGCTCATGCGTACCCTTCTTCACCACATAAGGAGCGATTTAGCACACTTATATATACAAGTACAAGTACATGACTCAGTATAAGTCACTGCTTAATAAACATTTTCAGAATTTTGGTATCCATTCTGGTGACATCCTTAGCCCACACAGGTAGCAAGTTTGTATATCTCAAGTTAACCGCATGCGAAAACACACTTGGCTTTATACTGTATTTCTATCCAGTCAGCCCTCAACAGAAAGACTTTACATTACCCTGCTCCCTGCAATAAAGCACTAATAACCAATTGTGATTCAGTTGTATATGAGCATAATTTGCAGGAGACAAAGTTGTGTTATTTTGACTACCATATTTTTTCAAAAGTCTTACAGTCTTCTTTGATAAAATGTGTTAATTTTGCATCGCTGAGGCTTTCACGACATACTGAGTGCCCTTTGACCTCAATAAGGCCTAATTTACATTTGCCCTTTTTATAATAACTACCAATAACTAAATGTTGGAAACTCAAAGTTAACCACTCTGACTGACACCTCTCAGAGTGATATAGATTCGATCCATCCTTTCAGACTAGCCATGAAGGGGGTTTTGTCTCATACGAGGGAAGACACTTTGTCATGATCTGTGCTGGTTGTATCGTTTCTATATCTGAACTGCATTTGGTTACATGCCTGTCTTGCTCTAAAAAGGAAAGAAAAAGAAGTAACCATGCTTTGAAACCAATAACGTGTTGTACATTTGACATTATCTTTTATCTATCTAAAAATTATTTGACCAGGAGTCCGTCTTGAGACGAGCTCATCTCGTTTTCAAGAGTGTCCTGGCCGACGAGTAGGCAACAGGTAAACACTTTATTCCAATTCCAGTATTCAAACAGGAGCAAACTGACCTATTAAAGCTTGCTAAATGGATCCAGTCTCAAATTCATCCTCCAAGAAATTTTACTCAAAGTCACATTGACTGTTTAACTCCAGCATCAGTGACACATAACTCAATTCATCCACACTAAAGCTGAAAACCTTTTGATGAAACACATCATGTCAATGTCAGTAAATAAGACAATCAAGGAAACAAAAGATATCATATTCAGCGTTACATGTCATCTTTGATTTGCAACAGATTTTAATTAACTGGATTATTAACTCAGCTCAGACATTTTTAATAAATCTTTGAATGCTTCGTTCAAAGTGTATTCACAAATGAAATCATGTCTACCGATTAGTAAAACCTTTACTAATGCAATCTTTGTTACATGCCGAGATCCCATTTCATTATTTATTCATATATCATCGACAGAAAAGCTTTGTTTCTGATTGTCTGGCTTGAAGTATGTGGGTTTTTAATACTTTTCAAAACTGACACTGATCATAAGAAAGTCGGTGTTATCTTTTGGCTTAAACTTTAAAATGGAACATGTTACTGTCTAAAATCAGAGACGTTTCTTTTTCACAGAGGGCAGCTGCGAAATAGTCCACAATGGTCCTGTTGTAAATGCATTAAGCCACTTTAAAGTCTTCTTTGACCAAGATTCAGGCCTGTAAATATAAGTACGTAATATGTAATATAACATAGTAATGCAATCCATTTGTGTATAACCTTAAAGTTATGCATGACATTTTTAAATACATCCAGGTGGTAGCTAGCAACAACAACCAAAATTTACAATGAGCCTTGCACTTGTAACGAAAAATAAGGAATACTAATCTAGCAACTGCAGTTTCTGTCTGTATGTTGGTATTGGATTTGTTGGTCCACATTTTCTGCAGGAATTCTGCATTCCCCTGGCTCTGGCTTGGCAAATGATTAAAATAACTCGAGAAAGATTTATACCCTAGCGTAAAAAATTAGCTTAACTAGTGACAAAGCTAACAACAGCTGCCACTTCTTGCCACCACTTGGGCTCTGCCCACAAAACATGTCATCAACTTTTGTAAACACTTGAAATGTCTATCCGGTCTTTAAGTGATGACGTGTGAACCCTGTTTCCGGGTCCAGACTACTCTGCGTTTATTAAGGCTGTTGTGTTTTTAACATGTTTTGATGCTTTGTATCTTGTTCTCTTTAATCTGAACAAGCCCCTAAAAAAGGCAGTGATCACTGCCGGCCTCTTTTGGTTTTTATTACCACTGTTCATTTTAAAGCTCACTTTTTAAAACCTGCCCATGCAGCAGTAAATTAATGACTAACCTTGTATTGTGGGTCGATTAGTTGTTCTCCTGACAGAAGTTTGGTCCGTTTACAGCATCCTGCCATGCAGTTGCATTCGTCCCTAACCATTGGGAACCCTCACGTTAGCTTTCATCGAGTGGAAAAAGTTAGTGTCCATTCTCCAGCTTCATTGTGCTAATATGTTTATATTATGCTAACCACAGCTGTGTAGCTAGCCATCACATAGCACATCATTATATACCAGCTAGCCCAACTTCAGTAACCCCACACACATCAGTAATATTTAGTTTCATGTCTTCATTTATTTCGGAAGTGATAGCAGAGCTGTACATTTAAATTTTTTCAGAAATCCCTCAGTCAAAACATAGTATATTATGTTTACGTAGAAACTAGCGATCTAACTTTCCGCTAACTTCTACCTCCATTAAATGTCATAAATTCTATTTTCATGGATGTCTGGATGTTAAACTTAATTGTTACACCTGGTAGAGCAGAACGCTGATCATTTTATCAAAGATGAAAGAATTTAGACAGTTTTTAACTCTCAGTGATGCCACGGTGTTCCTTTGACTTTGGGACCTGAAGCGGAGTTTGGACCTGGAAATGGCTAATGACGTCAGGCTAAAAGACCGGGTATAAGACAATAAATTTTATACTAGTTTTCAGTCGCTGTAAAAGGCCAAATCCCGCTAACATAAAATTCATAGAATGTTAGCTGTAGACCCTTTCTTGCTGACCACCAAAGTCTGCTAGAATATATAGTTTGTAGTATGCACATTTTATTATTTAACATTTTATGGGCAAAATTTGGTTTCTTATAGATATAACAAAACAAATTATAATTAGTAAAGAAACAAAAAAGTGAACTAGTACAGCAAAATCTGTATTTTTTCTTATTTCAATTGTGACATATAATAAACTCCATATTTCCAAAACTAAAATAAAGGCTTTTCTAGCATATGTAAGTCATTTTTGTAACTGTTAGCTGAAGCTAACTGTTTAGCTGTTCATTGAGGACTATCTCATGTGTGCCCTCTAGGTTTCAGTGTAATGGCATTACAGGAAGTACATCAAGTGAATGAGTTCCCTGTAGATTGACTCAACACAGTAATGTTTTCACACACAGATATCTATCTGTAAAAACATGAATGCATCTGGAGTTATCTTTCAAAGATATGCATTTTTTTTAATACAGTCTTCATTGTTTATTATATATGATGTCTGTAAACATTATATTGTGTTCTGTGTTTTGTTTTTTTTAGTTGATGTTTGTTGGCTATCAAGCTGTTTTATGTTGAGTGTATTGAATGTAAATAATGGGAATTTGGGACATATCTGTTATTTTTACTATTATTTATTTTAATTTTGTCAAAGCTGAGTGGTTTTTACTTTTACTTTTTATTTTTTTTAAAGCATATTTTTTCCACAGCCTTTCTATTCAAGTTTATAAATGGGCTACTGTCCTAGTAGGAATATGCCCAAAGTGCCTTGCTGAAACAGAAAGGGAGAAATGGATTCCTACCAAGTTGTATTCATTAGCCCGGAAAGTATTAGTGGAAAATATACACAATATGTCAGGTTTTGCGCGGGCTTATAAAATATGTCTGCCTCTCAATCCTCTCAATGTATTTGTTTTTTGGGGTAAGTTTAATTCTGTGATCAAAGCGAGACAGTAATTCTGTATATGTGCAACATGAAGTAAATAAAGTTATTTAGGTACAAATAAAGAGTGTAAATAATATATAAGCTGAACGAACTATTGATGCAATGTAGATTCAGCCTGGTCTGGGCAGCTGAACCAAGTTAGCTCACAACAAATGTTTATTGTTAAAATTTTCATCATTCTGCATACCTACAAATTGTATTATTCAATAGGATCAACTGTAAAGCAAATATATGAATGTATGGCAATTTCACGTGCTGTAGCCATGATGCACCATAGAAAATAACAGCTCCCCACGTAATGAACGGTAATCATTTGTTTCTAACAAAATAACCTAAATGTTGCTGCATATGTGTAGCTCAAAATGCTATATTGGCATTTTTCGAAACTGTCTGTAGGACAGATATAATTAAATGAAAGTAAATGCTTTTAGCTTGTATAGTATCAATATGCAGTAAACATACTGTACAGTAAACTAAGTTTGCCTGACTAACTCTATTTATCTGTGCACAAAACACTGATAATGAGATACTTTTCTTTTCAGAGGTATACAGAAGAATCCCTGTTTTCCTGAAACCCAGTTATTGCCCTTGTCTCTAACTTGTTGGTGTGTTCAGATGTTTCTGTCAGAGCAACAAGCACACCAAACAATGAACATGTGTTGTCCTTCCAATCTACAGAGTTTAATCCTGTCACCTTTAAATATGCAATGAAAACAGACGTGTAAGTTAACGATAGTCTTATAATTAGTGTGTGGTGCTTGTTTTAGCTACCCGACCCTGTAGAGATTGTTGCAGTCGAGGAGAAAAACATCAAACTGAGGGCTTTATCCTGAGAAAAATGCATTAAAATATTACAGCAATCTATTTTCAGCTGCTACAGCAGCAAAAGTCCTGTCTTATAGTTGAATGCATGACTTACCAGCAGCCTTGAGAGGTGAAAGCCATCCAGCATATGCTGCCAAATGGTGAACTCAGTGGAAAAATCTTCTGCCAGTCAAGGACAGGGCTGAATGATTGATTGACTGTGGCTAAAGCCCTGAGCACACTAAAAGTCCACTTTGTCTTCTTTACCGGCAATGCGTTGCTGCTTGTCAATACACGGTCAGTAGTAATGACAGGAAACACTTCCTATGAAGAGGTTTGGACACTATCACTCAAAGTAAATATGTTTATTAGGTCTTTAGATTTGGCAATTCCTTCTAAGACAGGCTCGTTTGAAGATGTCTTTATATGCCCATTTACAACAGTTTCTTTTTTTTACTCAAACTCCCAAAGCCACAAAAGTGGCTGGTGTTTAAAAAGCCATCTGTCAAGCCTTTTATTATTACGGTTCAAGACCTGTGACATGCTAGGAAAGACTTTCCTGCCCTTTATAGTGCATATGACTGGAGTACTTTTTAAAAGCAGTTTGTTTACAGTATTAAAGGAATACTGTGTTATTTAAATATGCAGGCAAACTGCTTTGCACTAGTCAATATAAAATATAACTTGACTTTGTTTCCATACTATAGATGTTACGCAGAATGCCCTTGTGATGTGTTATGGCTTTGATGTCAATGTGACCATGTAGCTAGACCGTGGCTTTAAATTAAGCCTTAGACCCTTTTCTTCTAAAATTTCTAAAATCAGTCATGTCATGTGTGGGTACAACTCATCAGTATTCTTCTGTGTTTCACTGTCCACTTCACAGTCTGTGCTATCAAGTCACACTTTCAGTAATCTTTGTCTCCTTACGTGTCCTTCACCCCTTCAAACTGTATATTTCCCACAGTCATTTCCATTTAATGTCTTTCAAAGGTTTATTCACTGTAACAGCCTTTAGTGAATGTGTAAAGATGCAGTTTGTGTGGTTAAAAGTAGCCCATTTATGAATGAATGTGGAATGAATACAGTGAAATGCCTCTGTTAAAGAATTGGCCTTGATCAAAGGAAGAAGCTAAAGTGTGATTAAAACCCACAAGCTGCGTCTTTACTGACCTGTATCCTGTTTATTCCTGTGGTGCAGTATAGTTTATCCAAAGTTTTCTGTGGCTGTGTGTATTCACGTCTCCTGACTGCGCCCCAACAGGGAAGAAGAACTCGTTGCTGCTGCAGAAGTTCCAGAAGGATCTGAACGCCGGGGTTTTCAACACACAGGAGAACGAGCTGCTGAAGCAGATTATCCGTCAGGACAGGGAGATGGTAATGATGGTGGACCGCAAGCAGTCGGTAACCGGGATGAACTCAACACCAATGTCAGGAAATTCCATTATTAACTCACCAGCCCAGCCGCCCTTCTCCACTGCTTTTGGCACCACTCAGCTGCAGCAGTCCTCTGTACCCCTGACCTACAGCGCTTCAGCTATTGCTAATGCCTCCGCTGCCCGCATGATGCCAGCCGCTGCCGTTGCTGCTGCTGCAGCACAGGGGCTTTACCAAACTCAAAGTGGCACCCTAAATTTGTCACAGACCCCACTACAGCAGCAAGGCACAATCATGTCTCCCTGCTCCTTCACAGCTGCCATGTGTAGCCCGCCTGTGCAGACCCCTTTGGCTAACCGGAGCTTCCAGTATGGCTCCCCCACAGCCTCCCAGCTGTCCCTTATCCAGCAACCCATTCCCCAGCCATCTCTGTCTACGCAACAGCTTGCTCAGCAGCCTGCTGCGCCAACTGCAGCCACATCCTCTGCAGCGCAGCAACAACAACAGCAGCAGCAGGCGTCACCTCAGCAGCAGCAGGTCCCTTCACCTCAGCGGGGGGACATCCACAAGAGCACACAGGCTCTACAATCAGGCAGCTTGAGTCGAGACGTCCGACACTTATCAGCCTCCCAACCATCACTACCACATGACACATCTCTGGGGCCCAGAGTGCATCCCACCTCAGGAGAGTCCCTGGCCTCCATCGTGCCACCCACAGCAGCGGTGATCCAGGGAATGAATCTACAGAGTGGCATCCGCACCACTGTGCCCCAGCGGGTCAATTTATTCCGCCAGATGTCGTCAGGAGCCTTGCCTCCCGTGCGCTCAGCTGCAGCAGCGGCAGCTGCAGCAGCAGTGGCAGCAGCGTCCTCATCCTCAACCCAGCACAGGGATTCTCCCGGATCTAGAAGAGATTCAGTGCTCAGCAGTACAGAAACTGAGCAAGACAAAATGCGTTTTGCATCAAATTTATGATCCCATTTTACCCTCCCTCTCTTTTTTTAAACAGAAATATGTTTCAAATCATTTTTAATGGAGCTAGAACAAAAGAGGTCAAAATGAGGAACTTCGGCATTGTTTTCTTTCTCTCCAATTTTCTTCTAAAGTAACCTCATAGAAATGTTGTATATATAACCCATGTATTATATTTTAGACAATTTTGTCTCCCTAAACTTAAGAATGTATATTATACAGATACACGTCCTTTCTTTGATCATATCTATATATACATATATATATATGTATATATAGATATGAAAGCGTGTGTGCACGTGTGTGCACGGGGATGTGTGTGTTTGTGTGCATGGGACCATGTCAAAAAAAACACCAACAACATTGGCAATGGCAATTTAAATCTGTAGTATAAACATGAGTCTTCCTTTCTGAGAAATGTAAAGAATTATATATCTATATCTATATATAGATATATAGATATAGATATGTATATATATATCTATATACAGTGGGGCAAAAAAGTATTTAGTCAGCCACCGATT